TTACACACAGAGGCTTTTACACACAGAAGATTGTACACACTGAAGCTTTTACACAGACGCTTTTTACACAAACGCTTTTACACACAGAAGCTTTTACACACAGACACCTTTACACACAGAAACTTTTACACAGAGCACAGAAGCTTTTAAGCAGACGCTTTTACACAGACGCTTTTACACAGGACGCTTTTACACACAGAAGCTTTGTACACACAGAAAAAATCGCAATTTTACCTCAGTTTTTGGCGATCGACCCTCATTTCGTGAAAGCTTTGACACACAGCACACAGAAGCTTTGTACACACAGAAAAAATCGCAATTTTACCTCAGTTTTTGGCGATCGACCCTCATTTCGTGCGAAAGGGTTGCAACGGGAACCCGGAAATCGCAATTTTACCTCAGTTTTTGGCGATCGACCTTCATTTCGTGCGAAAGGGTTGCAACGGGAACCCAGAAATCGCAATTTTACCTCAGTTTTTGGCGATCGACCTTCATTTCGTGCGAAAGGGTTGCAACGGGAACCCAGAAATCGCAATTTTACTTCAGTTTTTGACGATCGAACTTCATTTCGTGCGAAAGGGTTGCAACGGGAACCCAGAAATCGCAATTTTACTTCAGTCTTTGGCGATCGAACCTCGTTTCGTGCGAAAGGGTTGCAACGGGAACCCGGAAATCGCAATTTTACTTCAGTTTTTGACGATCGAACCTCGTTTCGTGCGAAAGGGTTGCGTTTCGTGCCGTCTCGTTGGCACTGCACCTGCCCCCGCCTTCAGAAGAGAAATAGAAAAGAAGGAGAGGGCAACAGGGGCAAGAGGGCAAGAGGGCAAGAGGGCAAGAGGGCAAGAGGGCGAGAGGGCAAGAGAGCAAGAGGAGAAGATGTGAAGATGTGAGGATGTGAAGATGTGAGGATGTGAAGATGAGAAGATGAGCAGATGTGAAGATGTGAAGATTTGAAGATTTGAAGATGTGAAGATGAGCAGAAGATGTGAAGATGTGAAGATGTGAAGATGAGCAGATGTGAAGATGTGAAGATGTGAGGATGAGCAGAAGATGTGAAGATGTGAAGATGTGAGGATGAGCAGAAGATGTGAAGATGTGAAGATGAGCAGATGTGAAGATGTGAAGATGTGAAGATGAGAAGATGTGAAAATGAGAAGGTGTGAAGATGAGAAGATGTGAAGATGAGAAGATGTGAAGATGAGAAGATGAGAGACAGACCCCCACTATTGGAAGAACCCTGCGCTCAGACGCTCTCGGGAAAAATGCGAACCACCACCTAGCACATGTGTGCATGGCGCGCTCTGTATCAACCAACGTGGCATAGTCATACTGATAGAAACAAGTTTGAGTGTCTTTTGGGCTTTGAATAAAGTACTCTTTGCACATCATGTTCCGTATCTCTTGTTTGAGCCTTGCTTAAGTTTGAGGGTTACAATTTCTAATGTCCTTGTTTTCCAGTTAGTGTGTATATATACTGTATATATATATGTGTGTAATACACGTTTAAGCACATTTTGCTACATGTTTGTTGTTTTTGAAACATATATCACATGTATGTTTATATATATATACACAAACAGAAGATATTTGTATTCTGTCTCTCTCTCTCTATCTCGCGCTTCCTCTCTCTCCCTTTTCAGTCTTTGCTGAACTCAGGAAACGAATACCGTGCGCGTGTTTTTTCGCAGTCCCATGAGGATGAAGGTCAGGCAACATCAGCTGCTACACTTCCATGTTTCCCTTTGCGGGTTTCAGTCACTTGAGTTACATGCTTTTCATACTCTCGTGTTGTTGCCAGAACCTGCTTGGTGGATGGCACCCAGCCATGCTGTTGTGTGACATCAAGTTGCTGCGCAAGTTCCCACCCCACCCCATACATGGCCTGGAGAAAGCGTGCGAAAGTCCAAAGGCCGGTGAATGACGTGGCAGTTGACCATCAGAAGAACGTTGAAAGCGAGCCGAGCGCGATAACATGGAGAGAGTTTGCATCCAACATACCCTACACTGTACGCAATGCTACACAGAGATTTTACAAATGCAAAATGCACACCCGTGTTGCAACAGGACCCTTAGTATGAACCACCAATCAACAGGGAGAGCAGGGAGGGCAGACTTTAACCAAACTCCATCACTTATTGTTTTTGCGGCCTTGGGTGGTTTGCGTGGGCCTCAAACTAGACAAGGGTTTGGTTTATATGATTTAATATGTTTATGCAACCTGGAGGTTACCGCTTTTTCAGTAAGGCAAAATATGGAACCAACAATAAGAGACAAGGGTGAAAGGCCAGTCATGGCCAGTCAAATGAAACTCACAGTGCCCAGGAAAAGTACAGCACGCACACCACTTCAAACCAAGTTGTTTTGGGTTCTGCGACATGGTGGCCCGCAACGTGGTTTTCACAGCAATCAAACTTGGAATCTGGATCATGAAAGAGCGTAAGGTCTCCTAGCTGGGAAAAGTAGGAAGGTCCTAAAAGCCTAAAATGATGCCCGCGCAACTCTTGTCTCCGTGGGCAAGCTTTGCAAATCAGTCGGACCGAGACCAATGGAAGGATCGGATTGAGAATGGTTCTTGACGTTAGAGTGGTGCTTCTTCACTGTTTTTGCTAGAGTCAACTAAGCATGCCAGGCTTCTTGTAGCTGCATTTTAGTTATGCTCAGGCTGAAACTGTGGGGAGCCCAGATCTTGAAAGTCTCCGTGCAGCACGCCTTTCCCGATTCGGTTGATTGCCCGCTACATTCGAACCTCACGCTTTGGATGGGGTCCTGCGGTGAAAGTGCAGCGATGCCAATTGCATGGAGTCTGGGCAGACAACGATCCCTCAACATTGGCAACCTGAAGCCGTGACAGCCGTGGCGCACTTGTTTGAACAGGATTCTATTTCGACTTGCTACACCGCTCTGAGATATTCCAAGCTGCTGAGACACTGTGCCAAGAAAAGCGTTAGCAGTTTGCTCATTGCTTTCCTAGAGACCTCGGTCGAGCACGGTAGGATTTTGTCCTTGCTGGTCCATGATGTCTATTTGTAAGAAGGGAAAGCAGTGTCCTGTTTGTGATGGCTGCAGATGAGGCTCACAGATGGTAAATTCATCTGAATCAAGATAAAAAGAGCTAGGTAGGTTGGTAGGTGGATAGGCCGACAAATGGCACTTATCTCTGGAAATTGAGCCTTGATGGATGCTTGCATGCCAGGAACCCTGCCCTGCTTTCATTTTGCAGAGCTCTGACCTGACCACCATCCTGTGGCTGAGCTTTGTGCGCTAATCGAGGCTTCCTCGCTCGCCTTGGTTTGATCCAGTTCGCAACAGGCACGGCCGCAAAGAGTCTCACGAAGTCACATGGACCAACAAGATGCACAGAGAGAGAGAGAGAGTGAGCGAGATAGTGCTGACACATGCTGATATCCGAAGAAGGACCCTGAAGGAAGTATGGTGAAACACGATACAAAGCAATCAAAGAAACCTTGAGATTCACAAACGGGGTGGTCCCAGAGTAAGCGGGCAAACCTTTGGGGCATACTGGGAGCCAAGATCTGCTAAGAAGAAACTGTTTACTTCCCAGGCCAAAGAGATGGCGTGAATGACCCACAATAGCCAGCAGATTGCACGAAATACCTGAACATGGGGCTTGGTTTGCTTTCGAAACCATTTCAGCTTGCTGATTGCCTTGGGATATCACCCAGGAATGATGAGATCATCAGGTGCCCATTCCGGCAGGTTGTGTCATAGTATCAATACCAAATCAAAAAACAACCATCTCCGTCTGGGTGGTTCGATTTCTGCATGTTGCCAAAGTCACCTGCAGAGGAACAGCCAGCCAGCCACACGAGCAAGTTCCAGAACTAACCAAGCGAGCGAAGCACGCGCCCAAGTTTGACCATGCATCAAACTTTGCATCAGACTTTGGAGAGGTGGCAGATGATGGCAGTCAGGTTGTGCGTAGGTTGTGTAACTTGATATTGCTTTGCTCGAGCCAGGCGTGTGAGTCAAAGTTGGATGATGTTGCCCAGCGAATTGATGGGTTCAAGGAGGCAATGCAGACGCTTCCATGCTCATGATCCAGGCTGTTTTGTGTTTGTTTAAAATCATGTTTTATTCCCCGCATCACTGTGTGGGGTTCTTGTTTTTCGCTTGGCACCCGCCGCGCCGCTTCAGCGTCCGCCCGCCGCCGCCGTCCTCATCACAGCTCCACTTCTCACACCTCACTTATCACATCTCTCATCACATCTCACTTCTCACCTCACTTATCGCTTATCACATCTCTCATCACATCTTGCTCATCACATCTCACTCATCACACCACATCTCACACCTCACTTATCACATCTCTCATCACATCTCACTTATCACCACACTTATCACATCGCTCCTCACATCTCACTCATCACACCACAACTCATCACAGCTCCACTTCTCACACCTCGCTTATCACATCCCTCATCACATCTTGCTCATCACATCTCACTCATCACACCACACCTCAGGCGCACTACACAGAGCCTTCTGGCGGAGCACACAGAGCATCCTGGCAGAGCTGCGGCGCGCGTGGTTGTTTGGTAGCCCGCGGCTGGCTTTCGTGTGGCAGGCGCGCTGCACAGAGCTTCCTGGCCGAGCTGCGGCGCGCATGGCCGCCGCTGGCCCGCGGCTGGCTTTCGCGTGGCAGGCGCACTACACAGAGCCTTCTGGCGGAGCTGCACACAGAGCATCCTGGCGGAGCTGCGGCGCGCGTCGCCGGCGCTGGCCCGCGGCTGCCTTTCGTGTGGCAGGCGCAGTACACAGAGCATCCTGGAGGAGCTGCGGCGCGCGTGGCCGTCGCTGGCCCGCGGCTGCCTTTTGAGTGGCAGGCGCAGTGCACAGAGCATCCTTGAGGAGCTGCGGCGCGCGTGGCCGCCGCTCGCCGGCGGCGGGCTGCCGTGTGGCAGGCACAGTACACAGAGCTTCCGGGGGGAGCTGCTGCCCGCGTGGCCGCTGCTGGCCCGCAGCGGGCTGTCGTGTGGCAGGCGCAGTACACAGAGCCTCCTGGAGGAGCTGCACACAGAGCATCCTGGCGGAGCTGCAGCGCGCGTCGCCGCCGCTGCCCCGCGGCTGCCTTTCGTGTGGCAGGCGCAGTGCACAGAGCATCCTGGAGGCGCTGCGGCGCGCGTGGCCGTCGCTCGCCCGCGGCGGGCTGTCGTGTGGCAGGCGCAAAACACAGAGCATCCTGGCGGAGCTGCGGCGCGTGTGGCCCCCGCTGGCCGCGCTGGCTTTCGCGTGGCAGGCGCACTGCACGAGCTTCCTGGCGGAGCTGTGGCGCGCGTTGCCGCTGCTGGCCGGCGGCGGGCTGTCGCGCGGTTAGGAGGAGCTGCTGCGCGCATGCCCGCCGCTGGCCAGCGGCTGGCTTTCGTGTGGCAGGCGCAGTACACAGAGCCTCCTGGACGAGCTGCGGTGCGCGCGTGGCCGCCGCTGGCCCGCGGCGGTCTGTCGTGTTGCAGGCGCATTACACAGAGCCTCCTGAAGAAGCTGCTGCACGCGTGGCGGTCACACACACACACACACTATTTTTCACCCACCATTCTTGTCACACACACCGTCTTTCGCACCCCATCTTGCACACCACTTTGTCAGACACCATCTTTCACATTTCATCTTTGACACACCATCTTTCACACACCACTTTGTCAGACACCATCTTTCACACACCATCTTTCACACAACTTTGTCACACACCATCTTTGACACACCATCTTTCTCACACCGCTTTGTCACCCACCATCTTTGACACACCATCTGTCACACCACTTTGTCACACACCATCTTTGACACACCATCTGTCACACCACTTTGTCACACACCATCTTTCACACCACTTTTTCACACACCAGCTTTTCACACACCGCTTTGTCACACACCATCTTTGACACACCATCTTTGACACACCATCTTTCACACCACTTTGTCACAAACCATCTTTCACACACCGTCACAGACCATCTTTCACACACCACCTTGTCACACACCATCCTTGACACACCATCTTTCACACACAACTTTGTCACACACCATCTTTCGCCACACCATCTTTGTCACACACCATCTTTCACCACACCATCTTTCACACACACACACACAACTTTGTTACACACCATCTTTTCTCCACCTCCTCCTTTGTCTTTCCTTCCTTCCCCGTCCCCGCTACAACATCTGTTGCTCATTATTGGAAGAAGTTGACTTGTGGGGTTATCCGGTCTTTTTATTTTTTGTTCATTCTGCTGCTACGGGTTTTCCAGCGTGCAAAGTGGTAGGGTTGGTGAAGCAGTTTGTGAAGCGGGCCAATGCAAGGCCCTTCGCAGAAGGGCGACTGTGGAACAAGAGCACGGAGATTTAGCCTTGCAGGCCGCACCAGATGGTCCTCAAGGAAATAGGCTGCACACAGACGCCTTTATATTATTGATATAATTTTCCATTGAGCTAGATAGTTGAGGATCTTGGCATTTTTGCACCGTGGCGCCATTTCAGATCAAGCAGCAGCGTGCCGAAGTTCGTCACAGGGAACGAGAGCTTGCAATGGAGCTGGATCCTTGAGATTGGAAATGCCAATCTTTGGTGCCCCTGTGAAGGCAACATTGTTAGGATGGGTTCTGTGATGCTTTGCATCATCAAACCGTGGCAAAGGTTGGCCAGGGTCGACAACGACTTGGCAAGTTTCAAGGCCAAACTTGCCCGGAGCTCAATGACAGAAAAGCAACTTCAGCAACTTTCTAGGCCACCGTATGCCACCGTACTCTTCTCAGACGCCTCTCGAATACCCAAAATCTACATGGTTCGTCCGACCAGGCCAGCCTCAAGAGCACTGTCCTGAGCAGTCCACTTCCAATTGTTGCGAGGTCATTCGAGGTAATTTAGCAAAGAGATGCATTTCGCAACATTCCGAGGCCAGCAGTCCGCTGAATCTTTGGCGGTGCTGCAGAGAGGCAAAGCCGGACTTGGGGGCAGGATTTGGGCAAAATGGAAATGCTGGCGCCCTGAACTTCTGCCTTCTTCTTTTTCCGGACCATGAGATTCCAGCATGGTTGTGAAATGATACAGCATGGGAACCGCTTTGGCATCAGTGTATTTGGATGTGGCGGACAGTTTCGTATAATGTAAGGGTCGAGAACTGCAAGAGCACTCGAGACTTCTGCAACCTACATGCTTGCTGCTTTTGTTCCCTTTGGACCAGTTTGTCATTGCTCATTCGTATATACCAGGTAAGCAGGCAGACAGCGGCTTGGTCTGGGTAGTTCGAAAGGGCTGCTTCCGCTTCCAACTTCGCTACTTTGTCATGGGCAATGCCAGTCCAGAACAAGAAACCATCCTGAACCGTGCCAGCTTCCACTCCCCTGGCGGTGGAGATGCAGTGGGCGACGAGACACTCAGTGTTTTCCTCAGGTTGCACACACCAAGTGTCTTGAAAAGCCGTTTGCAGCCTGACACCTTGCTTTTTCAACCAGGCCTCTCAAGCAAGCTATCTACTGTATGTATTAGTATGTAGATTTATATGGCAGGTCCAGTGTGTCTCTAGCGCAATCTACTTATTATTTGCTACCACTTTTGATCACTGGTCCAGACGCCAGGATTCGGCAGGTGCTCACAGAATAGTGAGCCCTGTGACAGTGTCGCCTCTACCTGAGTTGACGGAGACTCAGAAGTCATAAGCAGATGCGATGCAAACTTTGCAGCTGAGCTGCCGAAAGGGTTGTGGAAGGGTTCGCTGGCTTAACTCGGTGGATTTGGTCACGTCGCTGGTTCGCATTGCATGTGCCAGCCTGTCTTGATACAAGCAGTTGCCAAAAAAAACGACTTGCCCCTCGCTTCTCCATGAGCGCCAGGTTACATCCCAAGCCTTCAGAAGTGATTGCAGCCAAGCTGCAAATCGGACTGGAGAGAGAAGATAAGACAAGCAGGCATGTCATTGTTTGTTATGGTTTCATTCGCCGCTGTCTATATGTTTTCCTTCGACAGCTGAAGCTTGGGGACTTCAGCCACAGTAAAAGTTTCGGAGCAGCTCAAATCCGCATTACCAAAGTTCCCACGAACAGGTTCCCAAGCAAGGGGTTCCCAGGAACAGGTTCCCAAGCAAGGGTTCAAGAAGAGGTTCCCAAGAACAGGCCCCCAACCAAGGTTCTCAAGAACAGGTTCCCAAGCAAGGTTTCGAAAAATAGGTTCCCAGCAAGATTCCCAAGAACAGGTTCCCAAGGGGTTCAAAGAACAGCTTCGCAACAGGTTCCCAAGCAAAGGCTCCGAAGAACAGGTTTCCAAGAAGAGGCGCCCAGGCAAGGTACCCAAAGCAAGGTTTCCAAGAAAGGTTCGAAGAATAGGTAAGAGAGAATTGCTTCCAGACAAAGGTTTCCAAGCAAGGTTCCCATTCCACTGTGGAACGGCGGTTCCTTTTTTCATCAGTTTTATCAGTAAAAGGCCTACAAAATTGAATAGATACACTTCTGATGAGTGAAATGTGTGGGACATGTATAGGCTATGATCAAGTGTAGTATCATGTTCACCCAGGCACAGAACACAAATCCCGACACGTCGCAGAGCGCTCTTGAGCTGCTCAAAACAAGTTTGGTAGCGGAGCCTCCTCCGGGGGGCTCCCTACCTGAGGCATCGCGCCTTGCTTGCTGGCTGCCGCCTCTGTGAGGCTGCCTCGCACGCGGGGCGTTGCGCCTGGGGAGCTCGCGATCCAGGACAACATCACCTACCAGTTGGGCGCTGCTACATCCTTGCTGGCTCCTTCGGCACCTTCCTGGTTGGTCTGCTCACCACTGGCTTTTGGGCTTCGTGGTGGACTACCTGGACTTCGCCGACAACACCTTGGCCTTCCCTGTGTACCTCCTGACCGTCCACTTTGCCTTTGACTTGGCTGGCTTGGTCTCTGTGTACCTCCTGGGGATCCTCTCTGACAAGGGCGACGGCACGATGACCAGCCCACCTACGACGGGATCCATCCCTCTTCAGGAGTTCAGGAGAGACATCCCTCCAGGGTGGACTCCAGGGGACTCCGCCTACCCATTGCGCCTCTACTTCGACAAGTTGAAGCTCTGGTACCGCATCTGCAATCTGGATGACGAGATCATTGGGCCTCTCATTGCAGGCAGACTTTACGGCCGCGCTGCAAAGATAGCCCTGAACCTACGGGTACCTCGACCAGACGGTGGCTTCGACACCGGCGATGCTGCTCTCGCTCGCTTGAGCGTTGACGAGGTCAGAGATCCTCAGAGCGGCAACATCATTCAGAGCCACATCCCATCAGGTGTCCAGTACCTGACCGCGGCATTGAAGGCCGCATTCGGTCAACAGGACCAAGACTTGGCGACTCAGGCTTTGGAGAAGTTCTTCAACATCTCCAGGAACAAGATGACCTTGGCCGAGTACAGCGTCGAGTTCGAGTCCAGACTGGATGAGGCGAGCGATCGCGCTGGCCTTCAGTTGAACGAGGTCGGAAGATTCTTCCTCTTCTTCAAGCACAGCGGCTTGAGTGCAAAGACCGTGGACGACATCAAGCTGCAGATTGGGGGCGACTACACGCGCTTTCAAGAAGCTCGTGCACTGGCCTTGAGACTGAGCCCCAATCGCAATGATGACACCACGGAGATCTTCTATGGCGACAACAACGAGGAGGAGAACTACGACCTGGACTATTGGTACGGCGACCACGATGATGATGATGGCTGGTGGCAGTACTATGATGCTGACGATGGCTGGTACGACTATGATGGCTCAGCTGGCATCTGGTACGACTGCTACGAGGATGACCAATGGTATGAGGACTATGGGGAAGCCTCCAACGAAGAGGTGCCACAGATGCCTGCCACCGACAAGAACGAGGAGAAGAACGAAGATGATGCAGCCTACTACAAGGGCAAAGGCAAGGACAATGACGGATGCTTCAACTGTGGATCAAAATGGCATCAGGTGAGAGATTGTCCTCTTGCACGAGACGGCAATGGTGGCGGCAAAGGCAAGAACAACTACCAGAAGGGAAAAGGCTACAAGGGCAAAGGCAAAGGAAAGAGCTATGGCGGCAAGTCGAAAGGCTCCTGGGGCTGGCGTCCATACTACAAAGGAAAAGGCAAGAAGGGCAAGAGCTTGAAGGGCAAGGGCTATGGAAAGCGATCATGGTATGCTTCCTCATCGAGTGCAACTGCCTCCACCAACTTCAACGGCTATGGAGAGACCTACAAGAAGGACACTTCAAAAGGGCTTGACATTGGTGCAGGAGTTCCCAACTCAAACACCTCACTTCCAAAGCCTGGCAACTCTCCAAAGGAGTACAGCATCCATGGGCTTTCAGAGGACGAGGAGATCATCAAGCTTGAACGTGTGGAGCGCACCAGATCGAGCTCTACCAGTGATGAGTTGGCGGAGGACGACAAGAAGGAGAAGAAGGACAAGAAGCATGCCACTGCTTTCTCCTTTGTCTCGTGCTTCTACGACACCCACGAGTACTTTGTGGTTCGTGGCCAGAAGAGACAGGGATTGATTGTGGATCCTGGAGCTGCCTCCGGACTTATAGGGTCTGAAACCCTCAGGGAGCTTCTCAACAACTGCGTGGAGCCCTACGGCCTTGCAGATCAGGTGGAGATCAAGAAGGACAAGACTTCGCCAGTCAGTGGAATTTCTGGCATGTCTGACAGGACTTTGGGCCAGGTGACAAGTCCACTGGTCACGAATGGCCAAAGCATTTCCTTCACAGGAGAAGTTCTTGGAGGTGAAGGCAGCCTGTGCCCTGCTCTCATTGGCAACCCTTCGCTGCGACGCATGAGCAGTGTCATCTTTTGCAACTACTTTGAAGATGGTGATGGATTGCTCACCGTCGACATGGATGCCGACAACCACAACGACCAGGAGATTTCCAAGGTCAAGCTCTTCCGGCTTTTGCTGACGGAGTCAGGCCACTACCTGTTGCCGACAGATGAGCCGACCAAGCACAAGTTGCGCGATGGCATCAAGCAGGATGTGACGGCGTTCTTCAACAAGGTAGCAACCCAAGCCACTCAGCTATGGCAAGATGTCTGCCCAAGAATGAAGCATTGCTTCCTTTCATCACGGCCTGCACCACTGCAACAAGAATGACACTCCGCTGCAGACATCCTCTACTTCAACTTCCGATGCAGCTGATGGCAACACTGATGAGCGGAAAGAGAATGAGCAGGAAAAGAACGGCGCCAAGCACAGCAAATATGAACATGTTTCACACCAAGGCATTTTGCCTGGCGCGGATGCGCCCAGTGCTCAGTTGGAGCACCACGTACAGAACGACAAGGAGCTGACTAAGCCCTGCGACACTTTTGAGAAGGGATTTCAACAGTTTCACTCCGAGGATGACTTTCCGCAGTACAAGGAGGACATACTGCCGAATGACATGGACCAGGCAAAGCTCCGAAAGCGCTATCGCGCCATCCCAGAGGAGTACTACTCCAAATCAGGTTTGAGGCCAATCACACCCAACAACTTCCAGAAATGGTTTTCTCGAGCCAAAGGACGTGGTCTCAAATGGCACTTCTGGGAAGTTTGCAGCGGCAGTGGAAGACTATCCCTCACCTTGCTCCTGGCCGGCCTGGTGATTGGATTTCCGGTGGATGCACGATATGGTTGGAACCTTCGCAACAGCGACCACCAACACATGCTTGACATGGCACGTCAAGAATTCCAACCTGGTGTCATCCATCACTCTCCAGATTGTGGACCATGGTCAGTCTCTGCCAACACCAAGGACCCCGAGACCAAGCATTGTGAGCGACTTCAAGAACAACCATCCATTGCTTGGGTCCAACAATCATGTGAAGATCAAAGTCGTCATGATCGCGGCTACTTGGTGGAGCAGCCATGGGGATCAGCTATGTGGAGAGATGACAATGAGTCACCACTGCGACTTGACAAGATCCCAGAAAACAGAGCGAAGCAGAGATGTGACCAATGCATGCACGACCTCAGAGATGAGAAGGACATGTTCATCCAGAAGGCCACAGGCTTTGGTGCCAACTTCAAGCTGGTCAAGACGGCACTGCGATGCTCTGGACATCGTGGGAAGACCCACTCACATCTTCAAGGACAAGCACCTAATGGGCTCTCCCGAACAGCGATGGCAGCCGTCTATCCAAAGACCATGTGCCAACGGGTGAAACAGGACATCATCAACTTCCTTCAGAAGAAGAACCTTCTCAAGATCAAGCTCTGGCCACAGGACCTGTGCTGGTTCACATCTCCAAGCTTCTATGAATGTGTGCGGTGCACACTTGGGCGAGCATGCCCCAAGGACATTGAACACTCAATGATTCCTGGACAATGTCGACATGGCAAGTATGCAGCGGGCACCAATCCACGACTTCAGAAGCTTGAGGACAAGGACCCCATGAAACGATGGAAGGACAGTGCCAACAAGGAGTCCTACGAGCAAGTCATTGTGGACAACAACACTGGCCAAGAACTCACTGTCTCAGCATCCCACTACATCAAAAGACTACTGATGGAGACAGTGCACAATGCCCTTGGACTCTTTGGTGAAGCTGCACAACGACAAGTCGACTACTCCCACTGGATTGAGAACGCGGTGACGATGGCACTCTACAAGGAGATCTTCCAGGAGCACATGCAGGTGAAGGCCGTTAAGGTGGAACTACGGCCGTTCAACAAGACTCCATCAAATCCAAGAGTGGCATCATCAACCGCCTACTTGAGAATCCACATCACGGGCCATGTGAAGCACTGGACCATCCAACCCGTCGAAGACATGCGGGAGATGAGTGTCAACCAGATCAACGAAGCCATTGACGAGGAGAACTGGATGGTGACGATCTATGGACAAGAAGTTGGAGCAGTACCTGCACCATCAACTCCATCATCAAGGCCTCGCAAGATTCCTCCTCAACCTGGACTTCCACCACGACAAGATGATGCTGAAGTTCTTGCACGAATCCAGGAGAAACCTGAAGACTCTGGAGTTCCAGCCATTGAGGATGTGATCTACGAGGAAGAGGAGTTTGCGGTTCAGGACAGAAAGGAGTTAGCTCCTATCAAGCCCAACTACAACTTGAGACGAGTTCTGGAGCGTCTTCCAAAGCTGGTGGAAAACGGCGACATCACCAAGGCAAAGCAGCTACTTCTTGGACTACATGAACGTCTCTGGCACACGCCAATAGCTGACTTTGAAAGCCTGCTGCGCCGTGCTGGCCAACCCACTGAGGTGATCAACTTGGCCAGAGAATCGGTGCTGTCTTGCCCGATATGTCGGAAGTACATCCGACTGCCAAACCGACCACAGCTGCGCTCCAGATGCATCACCCACTTCAATGTCGTCATCCAGATTGACCTCTTCAAGTTCGACGACCTTTGGCACATGATCATGGTTGACGAAGCAACACGCTTCAAGCTCTGTGATGTTATAGAAGGACAAGATGCTGAACATCTTCTCAACTGCCTTCTACGAAACTGGATCCACATGTTTGGCCCACCTGGAAAAGTGACCATGGATCAGCAGATGAGCCTGATGTCACACGAGACAGGTGCAGAGTTTGAGCGCCTTGGCATGGAAAGATGCCCAAAAGGCACCACAGCTGGACAAGGTGCAGAGCAGCACACAGGCACTGGATTGGTCGAGAGGCACATCCAACTGCTCAAGCTGTCCATGTACAAGCTGAAGGCAGAGCTCAGCCGACAAGGACTAGTTCATGAACCACAAGATCTCTGCCGAGAATGCGCTATGGCGCACAACATCACCTTGAACTACAAGGGTGTGACACCCAGCATGGCCGTCTACGGCATCCTTCCTCGTGGCTTCTACGAGATCGACAGTGCTGGCATTTTGACTTCATCTGGCTCAACAGAGACGGACGTGACGCCCTTTGAGAAGGCCATCCGCATCCGCCAGACAGCACTTGCTCAGACTCAACAAGCCATCATTGAGGACAGAGTTGCCCGAGCAAGCAGAACGAGACCACACCAGTTGGCTTTGGACGAGCTAATACCTGGCACCTCCGAGATTGAGTTTTGTCGTGAAGTTCAAGGAGATCCAGGTTGGCGTGGTCCGGCATTGCTCTTGAGGCTAGATGCTGATGAAGGCACTGCGGTGATCCAGTACCAGGGCAAGCCATACTTGGTGGCACTTCGGCACATACGCCCCTACCGTGGAATCTTCCACGTTGCCTTTCCAAGCGAGGACACCCAGACAGCACTGAACAGGCTGATGCGCTATGTCGAGAGCCTGGTGGACTACAAGATCTACACCTATGGATGGCTCCAACGACGTAATGGCGCATGGGTGAAGTTGCCCAAGGATGACTACCACATCAAGCAGGTGATGGCATGGGCAACTACAGTTTCAACATCGATGAGAAAGGCAACACTCCACGGCATCATGATGGGCAAGTCTCTCAAGACCTTCAAGCCTCCTCACAACACCACTGGAACGTTGGTTGTTTGGCTTCGAGGCGGTGCCAATTTCTCCATCCAAGAGTGCCACAATGCGAACCATCTCAAAGCAAAGAAGTTCAGCACCTATGCCAAGGAGGAGATCTGCATTATCTACTTCTACTACTACAACCCCATCATTGAAGGCGAGAACGCCATTGAAGAGAAGCAGAAGCAGCCTCCCTCAACGAAGCTGAATGACGATGGTCAACAGCCAGCGGCCTCTATGGATGTGGACAAGGAGAACAAGAAAAGAGAAGGACCAGACTCCAGAACGGTGGTGATAGCACCGGAAAGAAAGAAGCAGAAAACATGCCTTGTGAGAGGAGCTGGAGTTTCTGAGACACTGGTATCTTGAAAGCTCAAGGAAGCAGTTGGTCATCTACGACTATGCCGAAGACTGGAGGTACGGCTATGACATCATGACGGTGACCACAAGGAACTTCCTCCTTCACCACTACGAACGTGAACGAGCTCAACTACCAGTGCTGTTCAACATCCAGTACAAGAAGCACCACACTGCCAGCGCATGCCTGCGCACAGCCAAGATCTTCAAGGTGGACGAAGAAACCCAGAACATCAATGAGGAGGACATCACTCCAGACATCTGGAAGAAGGTCGACGCTGCCGACCGTGATGAGCTCAAGCAGTTCATTGATGAAAAGGCCTTTAAGAAGATCCACCGGTCACAAATCACCTCTGACATGGTGACCATCGATGCACGATGGGTCCGAAAGTGGAAGAGAAACCCTGATCGCACCTACAAGATCAAATCGAGACTTTGTGCGAGGGGCTTCCTGGACAGCCAGAAGGACCAGCTGACCACAAGATCCACCACGGCAACAAGGTTGAGTCAACGCATGCTTGTCAACCAAGCCGCATGCGTGCCAGAACGCACTTTGGAGTCTCTGGACGTGGCAGGTGCTTTTCTCAAGGGCTTTACCTTTCAGGAGATCCAGAAGGCATTGAAAGAACTTGGCATTCATGCCCCAACAAGGGTTGTTGTGGTGTTCCCAGCAATGAATGTGTTCCGACACCTTGCAGAGCTCAGCCCCGACTTTGCCATTGCAGAAGGACAAGAACACAACTATGGGCTGATCTGCGTGAAACCGGTATACGGCCTCAACGATGCTCCATTGGCCTGGCAACTTTGCCTGCACCAGTTTGTCAAGAGTACTGGTGGGGAGCGATCTCAACTTGATGAGAACTGGTTTTCATGGAAAGAAGATGGACGTTTGGTTGCTGCTGCAACGACGCACGTCGATGACATCGCCCTCACTGCTCCCATCAAGTGGATGACAAACATGTACAACGCCTTTGTCAAGCGTTTTGGGCGTGTGACCCGCCAACAGCTGCCATTCACCCACTGCGGCTGTGAGTACACCAAGGTGAAGAACGGCTACAAGATCAGTCAGCAAGAATTTGCCGAGAAGCTGAAGCCGGCTCCAATTCCCAAACGAGGAGATGAAGAAAGACTCACCAAGGAGGAGACATCAGACCTACGGTCGATTCTTGGAGCTCTTCTATGGCTTTCAGCAACGCGGCTGGACATCATTGCTGATCTGTCCGTACTTCAAAGCCGTCTCACGGTGGCTGAAGTCAAGGACCTCAAGCAGGCGAACCAGATCTTGGACAAGGTCAATGAGTTCAAGGAGACAGGCCTCTACTACTGTCACTTCAAGGGGCAACATCAGCGACTGATGTGCATTCATGATGCATCCTCGGCCAGCAAAGGCCGACATTATGCCCAAGAAGGAGTTCTGATTGGTCTGTCGGATGATGCTTTCCGCGACAAGACCATGAACCACGAGACTGTCTTCGATGACTACAACGTCAAGGAGCACAACGGCATCTTCCACGTGCTACATGCATCTGGTGGCAAAGCCAAAAGGGTGAGCTACTCAACGAGTCATGCCGAGACTCTGTCAATGGTTGGAGGTCTTGAAGCCTCGACCCTCATCATGATCAGGCTCTCCGAGATCTACCACGTGGACAGGAGCCCGAGCCTGAAGCAGCTGATTTCCATCCAGGAGAGTGGCAACCCTGACCTGCCGATCGACTTCTACGGCGACTGCAAAGACCTATGGGAACTGGTGACAGGATTGAGAACCTTGCCACAAGACAAGGGACAACGCCTTTATGTGCTCGGCATCAAGGAGGCCAGACTGAATGGCAAGATGCGGCAGATCGTGCTGGTTCCAACGGAATGCATGACCAGTGATGCACTGACCAAACCACTGGTGCACAAGAACTTGCTGGAGGTGATGACAGCCGGCGTGGTGAGCTTTCACAATGTGGACAACCATCCGGTCACTGCACGGATTTTGCCAACACTGCAGGAGTACTCCGAGCACGACATCATCAAGACCGACGACGAGATCCTGGAGGATGTGAAGAAGAACCCAGACAACGTCCGCATTGGACATGCGAGCATTTTGCTGGGCATGGTGGCGACTGGAAGCTTCACTATGAAGACGCTACTGGCTTCGACGATGATGAGCGCTGCGGCGGCCTATGACATTGAGTATGACGAGACCGAGGGGCGCTACATCCAGAACAACGAGAAGGTTCAGGACAAGAGCTATGCTGGTGTCTACATCATGATCTTTGTCACCGTGCTCATCGCGATCAACCTGGACAAGATGATCAGCTACATCACCAGGAAGGCGAAGGAAACCCACAACAAGAAGTTCGTGGTGAAGTCAGAACCAGAAGATGAAGATCAGCCGATGGATGTGGATGATCCGTCAACTTTGATGGAGGTCGACGAGGACGACTTGGCACAACACTACCGAGTTCTTCGTAAACGAGTTCGCAAGCTGGAGATCGAGAATGACGAGCTCCAGGTGACAGCCAGAATCAAGCAAGACGCTGCAGATGGCTTCAAGGAACAGTACGAGGAGAAGTTCACCGAGGCAAAGAGCTGGGAAGACTACTCAGAGAAGGTCTGCCAAGACTTGGCACGCTTCAAGAGAGACCTGGAAGACACCAGACATGATCGCGACAACTACGCGAGTCGGCTGGATGAGATGCTCGACCAGAGACAGCAGTTTCTCTCCGAGCGCAACGAGTACCATGAAAGGTATGAGGAGTTGCGCGAGAAGCACGACAAGCTGATGGAAGATTTCCAGACCCAGAAGACTGTGGTGGCTTCATCTGCGAGGCACATGGCCTTTCTGCAGGACAAGGCTAAGGAGACAGAGGAGCGTGAAAAGCGACAGCGCGACTCACAAGCGCTGTTCCAGCAGCATGAGGAGGTGGACGACCCTCAAGAGGAAGCTGGCGAAGGCTGAGAGTGATTGTGACCGGCTCAAAGAGCTGAAGGACCAATACGGTCATGAAATCATGAGCCTGAGGCAACAGCTGGCAAACGCCAAAGCTCCGCCAAAGGTCTTCATGACGCGTAGCGGTAGCTGCTATCATGAGTCCTCATGCAACCACTTGAAGCATGGTACAGAAGACAGACCCCGAGTGGAACTGAAGAAATGCAAGGACTGCTTCGGGTGAGTCAACGGCTTCGCTCTCCGGAAGACGACC